AATCACTCTTTGGGTGAAGAAGGACTTCCTTTTATCTGTTCTAACCTGACCGCTCAGCAATTTCATGGAGTGCCCACGGGTTCTTGTATTGTGAGAAAGGGAGAAAAGTACCTCTTTCTCTCCTGTACCTCTTCCAGATGTAGCTTCAACCTCCAGGGACACAAACTACCACCAAGCTGTTAGACAAGTTGAATGGGCAGGTTTATGCATGTCAAGGATTAAACACTGTCCTGACTATGAAGGCAGCAGGCAGAACAGAGCAGCAGGGAGTAGGGCTGGAATAAAGCTTTGATTTTAACCGATGTGGGACTGGAGACTGGGACTGGAGACCTAATTGGGCACAGGCTGCATTAACTACTGTAGAAATACCTTAGAAGAAAGCCAAAGGGATGGGAACAGTGGTACAGAGTGCCGTCCTGTCGCAGACTTCTTACCCCGCCCCTGTAGGTTTTCCAAGACAAGAGACAAAAACAGGTGGTTCTCCATTGCCTGTTTCTGTGTCACAACCTTGGTCTTCCTTGGCGGTCTCCATCCAGGTACTAACCAAGACCAGCCCTGTTTAGCTTCCGAGATCTGAGGGGAGTGTGCTAACATGGGCCATTCTGGTCAGGGAAGGAGAGGAATAGTGGAGCTCAAATCAAAGGGTGATGTCTGTTCTGGGATCCAGGCTTGGTGCCAGTAAAGTACTAATTTTCCACAGCTTTGTTGTTGTTGTTGTTTGTTTGTTTGTTAAGGATGAGGAAAGATCTCTCATAGCTCCAGTGCTGGATGAGCTGCTGGTCTGGAGAGATTCCAGATTTCCTCCCCCCCATCTTACCAAGGGAAAGGCGGAACATGGATGCCTTTGCTGCAATACACTCTATTTTAAACCCAGCAAATCACCTTACCCACTAGGGGAAAAAACTCTTCAGGGTTTTCTAGGAACCTACACTGAATTTGCAGCTTTCACTTAAAATCTATTCTGTCTTGGCTATTAGAGAGAGATAAGTATGTAAACTGTATTTCACCCCAATGCTCACTAAAGTATCAGCCAGCTCCCAATTCCTAATATTCTGGCCAATAAGAGTAAAACTAATAAGGGGACTGATAAATAATAATGTGAGGAGACTGTTACATTGTTTTGTTAACTTGGGCTGGAATGGAATGTGATCTTGTCATACTGAGAAAGATATTTGGACACTTTTCCCTCTTTTTTGACGTTCTTGGATTATATTGTGCTAACTTTCTCTGGATTGAGCTCTGGGTTATATTTAAAAGTCCCTTGACTCAGACCGACGTACATTGACTGTGCAATTTTAAAGAGAGTTACACCTTTCTAAGGCCACTTACTTCAGTACACTTAGAAGGGCCAACTCTTCTTAGTTTTGCATGGTCTGTCAATCAATAGATCAAGATGGGTAGCCATAGATAGGGAGCAGTGGAAAAGAGCAAAAGTAATACCTTAAAGACTAGCAAAATTTGTGGCAGGGTGTGAGCTTTCGTGAGTCACTGCTCACTGCTCACTTCTTCAGGAAATCAGTGAAACCAGCCAAAAGGCATGAATCTGTGACCAAAAGTTGGTTTCTTGGCCTCAGAATCACCATAGACAGTCAATGTGGTATAGAAGAACTGGATTAAGATTAGAGATAGGCTGTCTGGGGGACCTTTATTCATCAATATCTCTCAGCCTAGCCTACCTCACATTCTTGTTGTGCAGATGCAAGGAGAAGAGAGTCATATATGCCTCCTTGATCACTTGGGTGGAAGGACGAAGTAAAATTTATTCCAGTATTAAGGGACTAAACAGTATTAAGGGACTAAAAGGACTTCAAACTACTTACAGTGCACAACACAGAGATTGGGAGGGAGAGGAAAGAAGGCTTTTACAAAGGCTACATTTCATTGAGGGTTGTCAGCACTGAGAGATATTAAGAAGGCAAAACTCACAAAAAGGGATGTGTTTTCATTGGGTTTCTTAAAAGCAGGGTGGAAAGCAGCAAAGATGCAAGTCGTGACTTTTCTGTTCAGCAGTGTTCAGTTGGTAAAATTTCAAGATAGAAAATACCTACAGTGTTAGCCACTGGAATAAGTACCAAGGGAAGAGGGATTGTCCCTAACCAGAAGTATCAGCTAAAATTATAAGAAAATCTTCCCGTATCACAAATGATCTAGATTCCGAACTGCAGAGTGTCTTACCTTCATGCTTGTCCCAGGTGTGTCTCAAAAAATAAGTAAGTATCTTTCATGGCATCTGCTTTTGTCGGGGCATACAAAAGCTAGATGTGTGTTAACAAGCAGGAGGTTGAGAAATCACGAGGAACTTCTTCAAGTAGTGGGCAACATTGACTGAAATCTATGTCCCTCGCATGTGGGGACTATAGGAGGAAAGTTTCCTGTTTTGAAAATGCTGCGAGTGCAGGATCTGGCTTGCCTAATGCTTATTGGCTAGTTTCTCCAATGTGAGAGAAAACCACTAGGATTTCCTAGCTGTAAAACAGCAGATTCCTCATATAATTAAATCTTTGGACAGACTCACAATAGCCAAAGAATGATGGCTTTTAGCTAGCTTCCTATTGCTTCGCATTTGCATCTTCTCCACTAGGAGTTTTGATGGAAATCGCAGTGCTCAATGTTTCCAAAGAGCTCTTCTCCTTCTCCTCTTGGATGTGAAATTGCTTTGGTCAGACGGATGGAGTAACCCAGGCTGAGCTCTCTGTTTGGATTTGCAGCAGCTCTGTGAAGCCCCCAAGTAGATGTCCTCCCATGCCCTCGTGTCTAAAAACCTTGGCTTGCGCTAAAAGATGGTCCCAAACAACTGTCACAGGTGATCCTCCAACCCAAGACTGGCCAATGAGATGACGACCAATAAAACCTGTGCACCTGGTTGACTATTCTCACTGTTAAAAGATGTGACAGCATGTTGTATTGCTTTTTTCTCTGAAGTGGGAATGATTGGAAGTTTCCGTCAGGTAATGAAGAATGTGGCTCTGCTCCAGGAGGGCTGCTCTCATCCCCGTGGTGGTTTTCATGTGGATCATTAATATTTGTTTTTTCTTCTTTCAGCCTCTCGGGTCTGAAGCATTGAACTTAGTATTATGTAGAAAACATATATCCCAACTTTTCAAATAAAAAAGAAGAATGCCCTATAGTGTAGGCTGCCCAAACTCTTTACTTGTCTTTCATGATTGAAGCCCCCCCCCTTTGCAATTTCTTGGCAAATGAGTAGAACAGAGGAAGAGCATCGTTAGTATTCTAAATATGCATTCGCTTTATCTCTGTTCCTTCCTTTGCGGAGCTGAGAATGATGCTACATAGTCAAATGTTGTGTATGTTTATTCAAAAGCAAGGTCCATTGTATTCAGTGGTTTCTTGGTTTCTTTTTGCCCTCAAGTCTCAACCAACTTATGGTGACCCATTGGGTAGAAACACTGGCCCCGTTCACACGGAGCATTTGCCGCACTAAAGAGACGGATGATAGGCGGATTTTCCGGGCACGATCACACCACAACATCTGGGAAGCGTAGTGCTCCCGTGGCTAACCTGTGGCTTCCCGCTGAAGATGTGGATTAAAAAACTAGTACCTACGAGGTACTAGTTTCCAGAATATGCGGGGCAAGGGCGGGTGTCTGACCACGTCCCGTCCTAGTCCCGTCACAAACCGGTTACTTTTTCCCCCCAGTCTGCACAGGATGCGCACAAACGATCATGTGCATGCTTACCTTCTGGTGAAAAAAAAATTCCCGATTGTCATGGAAGCGGCGCCTAGCCATTGCTGGTGTCATCGCGCCCCGCCGCTCCTTTGCTGCGCTGCAGGAGAGCTGTGTGATCAGCACCTCCCTCCCTAACCACGGGACCTCGACGGGACGTGTGATCAGGCGGCCGCATGTTATTTTGCTCCAGGGCAAGCAGCCACGCTCCCCCCCCCACATTTTCCGGCTGTGTGACTGGGACCCCTGCTCATTTTTGGTAGTCTCCTATCCAAATCATAATTAGATTGGTTTCCCACACAGGAGGCCAGAACAACAAGAAGGACAGTTCAAACTCCCAATGCAGGTACCAGTCTGAAAAGCTATTATCTATGAAACTAAAATCCTCCAAAGTCAGCCATTCTCATCTCTAACCCACACCTCTTCCTACGATTCTTGTGTTGTTGTTTTTAAGTGGATGCATTGGATGATCTCTTGGCTATCTGATCTGTGAAATGTTACAATCCACTTCATCATTTCAGGATTCTGCCTCCTTCCTGCCTTATTCTGCTACTAGAAATAATGCCCGTTGCGGAAATAAATACAACGGGATCTAGAAAGAGGCTCTGGGAGAGTGCTCTGGCTTTGGGCAAACAGTGTCAGTTTCCTGTGGCGACCTCAGCAGGGTTTAATGACAGAGTCCACTGTTTTCTCCAGAGGGACTGATCTCTGCTACCTGAAGAGCATTTGTTTGTTTGAGTTATCTGTAGCCCTCACCTGGAGAGTGGTAACCATTGTTACCCATTCTCCTCTCCCCTATGAGGTATGTTATGCAACTGAAAATTCCAACTGCCTTGCGGGGGGGGGGGGAGTTTGAGGTGTGGAATGGACTGAAGTCCAATCAGCTTCCATATGCAAAAGACCAGGTTGTCGCAGCAGTTGTGGTGTGGGCGGGACCCGGGCTTTGCTTTCTGATTGGTGGCGATATATGCTGAGGAGCAGTGCCATCAGCCATACACTAAGGGAGTGCATTTTAGAATTAGAACTTTGGCACCCACTATTCAATTATATATAAGGAGAGATATGTGTGGAAGAGGCTCGTAGCTACAGTCAGGCATTGTGTGGCCATGCCCCCTTCAATAACAGCCACACCCCACAAGTATAAATCACAGATGATGTCTTTTTTTAAATAATGAACCTCCGCACTGCCCCAGCAGCAAGCCTGTAGCCGGTAGCTGGCTGCCCCAGCTGGGTCCCCTGGGCAGTGGTGGCCTCACTGTGCCTGTGCCGGCCCAGCCATGTTACCCAGCTGAGGATGTCAACACTCACTTTGGTTCAAAGCCACCTTTGCAGCACTCTGGCCACTGCCTCATGCACATCCTTGTTCCTCAGGGTGTAAATGATCGGGTTGAGGAAAGGGGTGACCACCACATAAAACAAGGCCATTTTTTTGTCACGGTCTGAGGAAGTCACTGACCGGGGAATCACGTACGTAAAAACAACAGTTCCGTAGAACACGGTCACTACGATGAGGTGGGAAGCGCATGTGGAGAAGGCTTTACTCATTCCAGTGACTGACCGTATTTGTAACACGGAGAGCAGAATGACCACATAGGAGGTCAGAACAACAGAAATAGGAATAAGGAGGCCTACCCCCGCCAGTACAAAAATTATGGTCTGAGTGATGTGGGTATCATCACAGGCAAGTTTCAAGATTAACGGCATCTCACACATGAAGTGGTTGATATGGTTGGGACCACAGTAGGAGTGATGAAAGGTACATCCCACATATATTGCACCAAAAAGAAAGCCCGCTGCCCAGCAACTGGATGCAAGGTGCGTCTGACGCCACTTGTCCATGGCAACAGGATACAGCAGAGGCTGGCAAATGGCCAGGTAACGGTCATAGGCCATGACAGCCAGCAAAAGGCATTCAGCAGCACCAAAAAGCAAGTAGCAAAACAGCTGGGCAGCACAGTGGATGTAGGAGATGACTCCGTTCCCAGCCAGGAGGTGAGCCAGCATCTGTGGCTCCGTGCTGGTGACGTAGCAGATCTCTAGGCCGGAGAGGTGCATGAGGAAGTAGTACATGGGCGTTTGGAGGCGGGTGTCAAACCACACCAGCAGGATGACCGCCAGGTTGCCCATGATGGTAAGTGAGTAGGTGAGAAGGATGATGACGAAGAGTAGAAGCTGAGTCTTTTGTTGACTGGAGAGTCCCACCAAGATGAATTCTGTGATTGAGGTGAGGTTCTCAGCATCCATCGTGGCCTCCTTCCTGCAGAAATACGGGCACCAGAGAGAGAAAGTGGCATTTCTGGAAATTAGGTTGATTCTTTTTTTTAAGACATTGTTTTGTGCCTGCCAAACTCAAAGAAGCGCACAAGAAGCTCAACAAATTCAGCATTGTGGTATCAATCCCCGAAGTACTAATACTCTCTACTGAGATGTCCGTGATTCTGACAGGTAACATGGAATAGTAGTTTGAGTGTTGGACTGGGATATCTTTGAGACCCAGGTTCAGGTCCCCACTCTGCCATGGAAGCTTGCTGGGTGACGCCAATCACACCCTCTCAGGGTGCTTAAATGGTAGACAGGCGAACAATGAAGGGCAGATTTCAGTTCCCATAAATAAAGTTCTCAGAAGCCACTGCTTTGACCATGGTCAACTTTCCAGATATACAAAGAAACCATGGTCTCCCTAGCCCTGTTGCTCCCAGAACAATCAATTCTTGCTGAACGAAATCGGTGTCTTCTGGCATGCACAACAATATTACAAAACAGAGGTATGGGAGAGACAGAGGAATTACTGTTACTATCCCCCTCCCCAAATCTTTTTTGGTCTTTAAAGTGCTACTGCCCTGAGCTGGATGGCCCAGACTAGCGCAATCTTCTCAGATTTCGGAAGCTAAGCAGGGTCAGCTGTAGTTAGTATGTGGATGGGAGACCAGCAAGAAATTTCAGGTTTGCTACATGGAGGCAGGCAATGTCCCTTGCCTTGAAAACCCTCAGTTGGCTGCGACTTGAAGGCACTTCCCACCACAAAGGGCCTACTGGACTTGAATCCAGATGTTCTCCTGCAGGCCAACACAGTTCCCCTCTGAAACTGCCTTAACCGATATTTACTTAATTCACCTGTTAACACTGTCATCAGATTAACATAAACTGCAACTTCATACAACACTTCAAATCCTGCATTCACGCAGACATCAGGGAATGAGTTGTCCCGGTCTCCCCCATCCCGTGCAAATCAATTTCCCTCAGGTTGAGTATAATCTTACCTTTGTTCTTTTCCCAGGTGTTCCTTGACATCCATGACAGAGATGTTCATGTCACTGGTTTAAGTAATATACTACAATGGCCAGATGAAATTAAGAAAGATTTTTGAATCGAGGTGTTCAAAGATCAGACTGAAATTCATTAGATTCTCAATTATTTTTGAACTCAGAGGCATAAACATAAAAATTAGCCGTATTCCAAATCAGTTTCCTCTCACTTTTCTCAGTTTTGAGTAACAACAGTAATCGAAGTAGAGGTTTTTCCCAGTACTTACTTCCTGAGGCCCCTTAACTGGAGATGCGACTGATAGAACTCTGGATCTCCTCAGTGCAAAATGGCTACCCTACCACCAAGATGTCTCCTTATGTGGACTTTCTAGGAAACAATTATGTTATCTCTCCTATGAGGTCCTTGCTGCTTTGAAAGACCTGTCTGTGGCAGCCTGGATTTTTTTTTTTTTGGTAAACAAAATTTTTATTGTTATTTTCCCATCATAGGGATCCAACATTCAACATTCAACCTTTAAACCATTAATAATGTCATTGCTTACCCTACATTCCTTACTTCCTCCCCCCTCCTGTGGCTTCCTGCAGTGCTTTCACCCCTTTTCCCACACTTATATATATTTCATCAGTTATCAATATCTTATTTCTTATCATTAACTCAAAGATAACATCAATTTGCTTAATATTGTTCTAAACACAGTAAATTTTGTTTCACATCCCAGTTCTTTTCCAGATAAATTTTAAAGTCATTCCATTCTTCAAAAAATTCTTCGTCTCCTTTGTTGTTTAATTTCCTTGTAATTTTGTCCATTTCTGCCATGAACAGAACTTTTTGTATCCAGTCCTCTATCTCTGGTACTCTGCTACGAGAACTGTGTTTCCTTGTCTTACGACAGCAAGAATAACCTGAAGACTCTCTGGAATTAATTACATGCAAACAACCCAAAATAGGCAGAAACTGGAGAATGCCACTTCATTTTCCACTGCTGAAGATCAGAGTCTCTGTAAGGAGAGACAGAAGTTATGATGGCCAACTTAGCCATGAAGAGTCTGTCCTCTAGGGTTGAGAGAGCTAGAGACCCTAACCAGAACGCTAACTGTAACCCTACAGCAGACTAACACAGCTACCCTTGAAAAAGCTTGAGAGAAGAGCTGCTCTAGGCAGAACTAGGCAAGTACTCTCTAGTTTGACTGGCAGCAGCTTCCCAGCACTTTAAGAGGATCGATTTTCTTGTCCTGAAAATGCCCAAGGGCCTTTGAGATACATACAAAGCACATTCATTGAATTCTAGTTTGTGTGCTTCTTTGGTGTCTGTTTCTGCCAGGAATGTTGAATGCCTTCTGAAATGAGGGCCAGCTCAGACTGGCTACTTGCCAACCACTCTCAGGATTGGAAGCCTGACTGCATGGTGAGTGGTTTCTTCACCATCTCATCACAAAGGTTTGAAGATGCAGGAAGATAATAAAGACTTCAGCTGTCTTCCACAGGGACTGCTGCGCTCCCTTTGGGTCGATTAATAATTTGTTCTTTGTTTCCTCCGTGTCTCTGCATCAGATGCCCTTAATGGAACAAAAACAAGAAAGGATGGGCAGCACTGCTGGTGCAATCCTGCAAAGTTACAGAGTCTAATGCCACTCATTTCAATAGGGTCAGTCTGGGTAACTCTGCATAGGATTTGGATGAAAATTGCAAAAGTTGGTTTTTCGGGTTATCTAGTAATTGGCTTCTTGGGTCTTGAAATACAAAGCAACGAGCTTTTGATCCACTGCTCATGGAAACAGAAACACCACTGAGGAATCCCATTGCCTGGTTGTATTCATAAGGAGGAAGCTGAGATCAGAGCATTACCAGAACCAGGTCCCCAGTAGGGCTGTGCATCTGAAATAAAATGATTTGTTTTACTATTCAGATTTCGGGAAGGGCACAAATACTAGTAGTCAGTGGTTTTCAGCTCCCCTGGTACCATTTCGAGATTCAGGCTCAGAGCTTTCCAGGATTCCAGAATTATTTAGGTTCCATTGTTTTTCATGGGACAAAAGAAGATCTGGTTTGGGACAGACCACCTATTTCTCATGGAAGTTCAAGGCCATTGCCAAATACTTGATGGGGTGGGACTATGTTTTACAACTCTCTGATGGGTAACAGTAGCTTCTGGCCATCTGAGGCCCTGGGCATACGGGCCGGCTGAAACGCGGCTACGCAGAGCCGCTCCAAACTTGCGACGCCGCGGCGGGATCCCACGAATCCCCTAGCCGCGGCGGATCACTCCCCGGCACGATCGGATGCCGGGGAGGAAAAGTCCGAGGGGAGGGGGGAGGCTGCCGAACTGCGCATGCTCGGGCATGCGCAGTACGGCCGGGGGCCGGGATGCGGCGGCGCAAGGACGCGCCGCTGATCCCACAGCCCGGCCTGAGCCGCGGCAATGGATGCAACCACCTAGAGAGGTGGTTGTTTTTTGCGCCACAGTATGGGCGGTTGGGCCGGAACAGGGACGGAGACGGCACGCTCGCCAGATGTTGAGGTGAGATCGCGCCTGTTTGCTCCGCCCCAGTTCCGTCCCGCTCCCGGCCCAAATGGGCTCGTATGAACGGGGCCAGAGATGAAGCTTTGCATGCCATTTGCTAAATCAGTTTGTCACTTTTGGAAAGGAGGCAGGCTTTGGTCCAGTTTCATTGACCATAGCTATCTGGACTCAGGGATTTTTCTTGTTTTCAGTCTTCAGGGGAAACTGGGGTCCACAGGAGGTTGGGTAAGGACTAAGGACTCCTGAAACATCAATCCCAATCTGCATCTAGCAGTTGCTCTGCTGTTTTACCAAACGCATACTGGAACAGAATAAGATGTGGCTCAAACTCACATTCAAAAACCCCGGCCCAAGCCATACTGACTGCAGAGTCACCCCTGAATGGCCATAAAAACAGCCATAAATCTATGCAGATGGCTACCATAAGACCAAGAGATCAAACGAAGTGAAAGCAGCATGCAGTCTGGATGCTGCCATAATATCCGACAATCAATCAAAGTCAAAGTGGCATGCAATGTAGAGGGGGATTTCTGTTCCAACCTGGGTTTGGTAAGACAGCGGAGCAAATGCTAGATGCAGATTGGGCCCTTGTGTTACTGCAAGGAATACTGCACAGGCTTTGAGGAACCTGCCGCCCTAAGTAAGGTGTGTTTAGCTGAGTTAGTTCAGCTTTATTGCTTTATATTTGAATATCTCTGTGCCATGTTGTTCTGTACCCTCCCTGTATGTTTTGTTTTGCCCTCTTTTTAATCCAACTACCCTTTTCCTTTTTTGTACTCTCTTTTATAATAAGTCTTTTTATAAAGTTTTTTTTTAAAACTTTGCTTAGTACAATTTACTTCTCTGGGATATTTCTCCTAAACTCTTCCGCACATGCTAGATCACATGGGCACTAAATAGTTGGTTCTAAGGTATTTTCTCAGGTGTTTACCCTTGTTCTTCGTTGCTGCTGTAGTACTGCAGTGGAAGGGTACCTTTTGTTCTCAATAGCTGCATAGTGGTAGCTAGTTATTACCAGGGTGTTTTCCAGGGAACCCTTGGTCTAAGATACTTTCTCAGCAAGGAAAGACACACACACCCTTTCATAACAGGTATCCCCAGTCATCCTACTTGTAAATGAAAAAAAGGGGTTCAGCCCCCAAAAGGATCGAAGGAAGCTGAAGGAGCCAGCCTGACCTGCAGCTCTGCTGGGCTTTGTGCCTGACTTGTGCCAGCTGGAAGCCACCTGCCCCAGGCCACTGCTTGGGAAATGCAGAGAATCAAAGAAAAACAAGATTACTCTCATTGATGGGAAGCACCCATACATTTATTTTATTTATTTATTTATTTATTATTCACATTTTTATCCCGCCCTCCCCGGAGGCTCAGGGCGGCTTACAGGGCATATTGCCAGATAAAACCATAAAACAATACAAAATATTAAATCACAGCCCTATTTAAAACAGATTTTGATGCC